CGCTCTTCCTGTCCTCCCAACTCCTTCCTTGCTCCCTCTGCTGGGAAGTTCTCCCAGGCCAACTTCTTTCACTGGAAATAAAACCCCCATAGCCTTCCATCTTCCTCCCTTGGAATTCTTCTGTGCTTTGGTTTCCTCCGTAGATCCGTGGCTTCATCAGGCTGGGGAATCTAGCACTGTTCTCTAAAATGTCATGTAAATTTGCAGAGCTAGGGAAGTGATTTATTACCAGTCTAATAAATAATGTGTGACAGCCTTGGACAAGGGAGGTCTAGGTAAAAGATTTACTTGGGCTAAGCAAAAGCTTTGTGTTAAAGACAGGTTCCTCCAAAGCGCAGCATTTACCCGTGTTAAACTGTAAACTCTGCATTGAGTGATTTGTTCACATTTTTCTTAGCCAAACTCCACTTCTTGGAAAAGGTGGCAGCAGCTGCAGCTGCCCTCGGTGTCAAAGTGCACCAGAGCTTGCTGCCAGGAGGCTCAAAGTCACTTGCTGGGGAGATGGGGCAGAAATTACAACATATCTCCAGATCTGCAGGAGGAGGTCCTGAAAGATGGCCTGAAAGATGCTCTCCCTGCTAGGGAAATTACTGCCCCAAAATAATGGGGGAGAAAAAAAAAAAGTAGTGATGAGAGAGGCTCTCATTTTCAAGCCTGCCTGGTCTCCTGGGGGTGCTGGGGATTCCCTCCTGTGCAGCCTGCCCTGCAGGCACCTGCTGGCTCTTCCATAAATGACTCTTTGCAAGAGAGCAGATGCTGCCTGTCCGTAGCAATCTGATAAATAAGTGTGTATAATTTGATAAAAAATCATGTCCCTTCAGGATAAGGGCTCTCAAACTGTTGCAGACGTCGGCCTGGTGATAGGCGAGCTGGTTCAGAGCAATGTGAAAGCCATTTCAGAGCCTGTGGCTGCAAGCGTCTGCGTCCATCCCTACTAGCAGAGGGGTGGTAGGGAGCTAAAGTGGAGAGTTCTGCTTTGGGTTATGCCTTTTCCCTGCTGTCTGAATGTGTGTTACAGCTAAATGATAATCCCAAAACATTGTGCTAGTAATTGGTGCTAGTTGCTTATCGATAAATGCCACTTGGGACTGCTAGCTGAGCATATGTTGAATGTTGAGTGGTTGGCAGCTGTTATGATGGTTGGGTGTTCTGCACTGCCCCAACAGGCATTTGGACTCCCTCAAACTGGATCTAAAGAGCAAAGATCCTGCTCAGTCCCTCTGCTTTCCCCCATCCAGAGGGAATTGCATGTTCCTGAATGGTGACTCGAGGTCTCTGTGTTCAATGCAGGCCACGTTGGGCGGGTTGTTTTGTTAACCACCTTGGTGCCGAGTGTCTCCATTTTCTACTTTGATAATTCCTTGAGTGCTTCGAAATGAAGGTGATATGAAAATGCAGGATGATAGGGCTAATGTGTAAAAATGCTTAAACCTACCTGAGAGCATCAGCTCTGGGGTGTTTGGGAGCTATATGCAGCTCAGATACCTGCTTCTTGAGCTGGCAGGAATGCAGGGGCTGTCCCTTCACAGACTGTGCCACATCCTATTTTTCTGCATGATTTTTCTTGCGTTTCCTTCCCCTCTCTTTTTTTAATTATAAACAGCCCGTGCATGATGGAATATGATGAATGTACCAAAAATATTTTTTTTTGAGAGAATTGAACTTTGCATGTAGAACATATTTCCCTAAGAATAGTATGCGATGCTGCTAGTAACATGCTGATACTGAATTTGTATTAAAAATATCTGGGCTTCACATCTCCGAGTGTGAAACTCTGAACCTTTGTCATCCAGCTCTGTGCGGCCACGCTATATTCGGATGGCTGCCTTGCTATTTCAGATGTCCCATTCGGTTTTAAATAAAAACAGCTTGTGTTGAGATGATTTAGGCTACTGTTTTGGCCAAAGTGCATTTGGGTATGTAGTAAGACCCAGAGCTGGAGATGTGGTGGTTCCTTGTCCTGCTTCACACAGACTTATGGTGCCAAGAGATCAGGTCATTAGAAGGGCCTGTGTGGAGCTTGTTGTCAGTTGAATGACACAAGGTTATGTCTTTTCACAGCATCAAGCACTTAGGTTTAGCTTTGATTCTGAAATAGCATCTTTTAAAGGTGTGTTTGTATTTGGAGACCTTCCCATGAGCTCGATACCTGTTGCTGCAGTAGGTGCTTTCCTGAAGGTTTCTTGCAAACCTGGTTAGTTTTCTTCTTTGAACATGGCACTACACATTTCCATGACAACTTCCAAGCTGACAAGTAGGTGCTAATACTTC